CCCCCCCGCCAGCCGCTCCGCGCTCCAACCCGCGCGCCCCCAACGGCCCCCCAACCGCCGCCCAGGCCCGAGGGCGCCATGAGTAGCCCGCGCTGCGCCCCGCTGCTGCTCCTGCTGCTGCTGCTGCCGCCGCTGCTGCTCAAGCCCCCCGCGGGGGACGCCGCCGTCATCACCGGGGTAAGCGGCCCCCGGTGCACCTGTCCGCCCGGGCCGCGCGCGCCCGAGAGGCACCGGGTGGGGGGCGGGGTGGCGACCGCAACGGGGAGGCGGTGGCCACCGGGAGGGTCATCCCGGGTGGGGACTCCTGCTCCAGTCGCCCTTTGGCGCACTTGGAAAAGTGCCCTGCTCCCAAAGCCGCGGACGGCAGGGACATCGGGCGCTCCCTGGAAGAAAAAGTGACCACAGCCTCACCTCATCACCTTCATCACCACCTTCTCCCGCTTGCTTCCCCCTCTCTCCTCGTGTTTGGTCTGTTTTCCTCTTAAGCTGAAAGAAGTTTCCTTTCGCGGTTTTCTCACGCACTTTCCCCAGACGTTCCAGCCTCTGTCCTTCAAATTTTAGTGTCCTGAAATGCAGAGGGGCAAGACCGGTACCCCCAAATCCCGGGAGCCTTAATTCTGTAGTCAGGGAGTTTGCTCCCCGAAGCATCCTCCGCAAAAACCCTTGGAAATAACTTGGTCCGAGGACATATGTGCACTTTAAAAAGCAATGTGGACGCTGCCTTCTGGGTTCCAGGTTTTTTGGTTTGTTTGTTTTTGTTTTTCCAGCGTCCCGAGGTTCTCCCTGTAAAAGTTTTCCACTTCCAGTTATTGACAAAGCACCTCCAGCGCTCTGGCTTAATTATGGAGTAGGTTGCCATGTAGATGTTGCAGTTTAGAGAGATGTCTTCATCATTTGTACAAGTAGTTCTCTTCTGCGTCCACCAACAGTTTTCTTTGTGTGGATCCGAAGGATAAGTTTACAGCACAAGATAAAAATGTCTAGTCTACGTCCACAATGCAAAATCGCTACCACTTCCTGATTGTTAAATGCTTTACTCTCCTTTTTTAAGTCTGAAATTATTTTACAGCTCCATTAAATTATTTCAGATATCTAAGTGCACACAATAGGGTTTAAATAAAACTTCTGTGTTTGAACTGATGATACACAGGTAATGAAATAACATTTAAATTTAAGGGAAATGTCATTGCCTTGAGAAAATTAAGCTCTATTGTCTCCCTGTTAGTTAATAGGCTTATAGCACATTGAAAGTCCTCATACTAGAACAGTATGTGGTTACAGCCAAGAGATGCTTAATTATAAGCATTGTGATATTTATTAGAATAGTTAGTAGAGATTTTTACAAATGTATTTGAATAGCTTTGTCAGTCCCTGTGGTTGAAAAAGAGTTTTTACAGGTCTTTCGAATACATGAGAATTGAAACCTGATGAGTTCCCGCCCCCCCCCGCCCCCCC